ACATGTTACTAACATGTTGCTAGCATGATTAGCAAGTGACTAGCCTGTTGTTAGCATGGTTAACAAATGAGTAGCCTGTTTCTAGCATGATTAGCATGTTACTAGCATGTTGCTAGCATTTCACTAGCATGATTAGCAAGTTAATAGCATGTCGCTAGCATTATTAGCAAGTTACTAGCATGTTGCTAACATGTCGTTAGCATTTTTCAAGCATGATTGCAATATTTAATTAATTTTGATTTAATTGCTTTTCCAAAAAAATATATACGTAATATACAGTATGTTATGTAATATACAGCTATATTAATTGTCATTTTTTGTTAATATATATTTTTTCATTAATTTTAATGTTATAATTAAATATCGTCTTTAAGTAGAGTGTTTAATATTTAATTTTCATATTTTGTTAATATTTCATAGTTCATTAATTGTAATTTTATAATTGTACAATATATAATATCAAGCATATAAGAAATATACAGCATGTTTAATAGTTAATATTTAATTGTTGTAATTTTGTTAATATGTAATATTAAATTAATTTTAATTTTATAATTATATATAACATAATATTTAAGCAAAATACAGTAATACAATACAGTAATACACCGTATCTTCAGTATATGAAGTAATATACAGTAATTAAAGATAAAAATAATATTTGGTAATATTCAATTAAAATAATTGTAATTTTTGAATTTTTCTACATGTAATATCTAAGTAATATACAGTGAACATTTATATTCATTAACATGGTATATTAATTAATTTCATATATATACATATAATATACAGTATGTTAAGTAATATACGTTGAAGTTTCATTTAATGAAATTTTTAATATATATATATATATATATATATATACTGTATATACACACACACACAGTAAGCATTTGTATTCTTTAACATGTTAATTTCATATAAACGTATAATATACAGTATGATAAGTAGTATACAGTTATTAAAGTTACATTTAATTTAAATTTAAAATTTAGAATTATATATATATATGTAGTAATATACAGTAAGTTGAATTAATTTGAATATAGTAGTAGTATAGTAGGATACAGTAATAATATATATATATATGTGTGTGTGTGTGTGTGTGTGTATGTTTTTTTTCGTATTTAATTTTTCCAGTATATTTAATGAATTTTAGTATATAATTTATTTTATTACATGTATTCATAATAAATCAGTTTTCTTATTTCATTATTTTATTATATATATTTAATTCATATGTAATATATGTTGTTATTAGGAAATGTTGTATTTTAAAATATAATATTTTACATTACATTAATTCATACTACGTAGTGTAATTTTATTATTTATTATATTAGGTATTTTATTATTTATCTGTATTTAATTATGTGTGCTTTTTTTGTTTTTTATTATAATAAATAAGTCATATTTAATATCGCCATTATGATTAATATTCAGTTCATGTTAAATAGTATTTTAATATTTTACTGTAATTTTTGGGAATTTTTTTATTTATTTTTTATTATGTTTTTCAGTAGTATATTAGTTTTGTCTGTTCTATTGAGAGTCATTGGTGTTGTTACCGTGATGAAAGTCCTGTACTGATGTGTGTGTGTGTGTGTGTGTGTGTCTCTGTCTGTGTATGTGTGTGAAGGATCACGCCCCTCGACTCGCCCGCCTGTCACTGGAGAGCCGATCGCTGCGAGACATTCTGCTGCACGGTGAGACACACACACACGGATCTCATGGTGTGTGTGCGTGTGTGATGTCAGTCTGAGTACGTGCGTGTGTGTGTGTATCCTCAGGAAAGCCGAAGATGGGCCGTGAGCTGGGCCGTGGTCAGTACGGTGTGGTGTATCTGTGTGATAGCTGGGGTGGACGTCACCCGTGTGCCCTAAAGTCAGTCGTTCCTCCTGACGACAAGCACTGGAACGACCTCGCGCTGGAGTTCCACTACACACGGTAACACCACTCCAGTGCAGTGTTTCTAATTACATTTATTGTTTAAAAATGATGACAATAATAATACTAAAATGTAATTATTATTTTTATTTATGACTTTTTATTGAAAGAAAATATTAATAGTTCATTCAGTATTTTTTATTGTATTATTTCATTAATTATTTAAATAATAATAATGATAGTGCTTATCATTTTTATTAAAATTGCTATTAGTTGTAATTTTACTGTTTTTATTTCTATTATTATTAATTGTATTTTTAGTAATTAATAATAAGAACTATTTTTTTTTTTTTACTCAATACAAATAGCAGTAGTATTTGTTTTTATTATTGTTTAATCATTAAAATTCTCTGTGTCCATCAGGTCTCTGCCTAAACACGAACGTTTAGTGAATCTCCACGGGTCGGTTATCGACCACTCGTACAGTGGCGGCTCCAGTATTGCGGTTTTGCTGATTATGGAGCGATTACACAGAGATCTCTACGCGGGACTGAAGGTACCATCATAACAACAGCTGTCCGTTTGTCTGTCTGTCTGTGGTTGTGATTGACGTGTCTGTCTCTCTCAGGCCAGTCTGTCTCTGAAGGAGCGTCTTCAGATCGCTCTGGACGTGGTGGAGGGGATTCGGTTCCTGCACAGTCAGGGTCTGCTGCATCGTGACATCAAGCTGAAGAACGTTCTGGTGAGGAACTGCGTCCACCATCTGATTCTCTGTGACGAGAGCACATCATAACACTTCATAACTCATCATAACACTTCATAACTCATCATAACACTTCGTAACACATCATAGTGCTTCATAACGCATCACAACACTTCATAACGCATCATAGTGCTTCATTACACATCATAACGCATCATAGTGCTTCATAACGCATCATAACACATCATAGTGCTTCATAACGCATCATAGTGCTTCATAACACATCAAACACTTCATAACGCATCAAACACTTCATAACGCATCATATTGGTTCATAATGTATCATAACACTTCATGACGCATCATAGCGCTTCATAGCTCTTCAAAAAGCTTCACAGCCCTTTATAGCTCTTCATAGCGGTTCATAACCCTTCATAATGCTTCATAACACTTTATAGCCCTTCATAGTGCTTCATAATGCTTTATAGCCCTTCATAACGCTTCATAGCACATTGTAATGCTTCTTAATGCTTTATAGCCCTTCATAACCCTTCATAGTTCTTCATAATGCTTTATAGCCCCTCATAACGCTTCATAGCACTTTGTAATGCTTCATAATGCTTTATAGCCCTTCATAACCCTTCATAGCGCTTCATAATGCTTTATAGCCCTTCATAACGCTTCATAGTGCTTCATAATGCTTTATAGCCCTTCATAACCCTTCATAGCACTTCATAATGCTTTATAGCCCTTCATAACACTTCATAGCGCTTCATAATGCTTTATAGCCCTTCATAGCGCTTCATAATGCTTTATAGACCTTCATAACGCTTCATAGTGCTTCATAATGCTTTATAACCCTTCATAGTGCTTCATAATGCTTTATAGCCCTTCTTAACGCTTCATAGCACTTTGTAATGCTTCATAATGCTTTATAGCTTTTCATAACCCTTCATAATGCTTCATAACACTTTATAGCCCTTCATAACGCTTCATAATGCTTTATAGCCCTTCATAACCCTTCATAGCACTTCATAATGCTTTATAGCCCTTCATAACACTTCATAGCGCTTCATAATGCTTTATAGCCCTTCATAGCGCTTCTTAATGCTTTATAGACCTTCATAACGCTTCATAGTGCTTCATAATGCTTTATAACCCTTCATAGTGCTTCATAATGCTTTATAGCCCTTCTTAACGCTTCATAGCACTTTGTAATGCTTCATAATGCTTTATAGCTCTTCATAACCCTTCATAGCACTTCATAATGCTTTATAGCCCTTCATAACCCTTCATAGTGCTTCATAATGCTTTATAGCCCTTCATAACGCTTCATAATGCTTTATAGCCCTTCATAACGCTTCATAATGCTTTATAGCCCTTCATAACCCTTCATAGTGCTTCATAATGCTTTATAGCCCTTCTTAACGCTTCATAGCACTTTGTAATGCTTCATAATGCTTTATAGCTTTTCATAACCCTTCATAATGCTTCATAACACTTTATAGCCCTTCATAACGCTTCATAATGCTTTATAGCCCTTCATAACCCTTCATAGCGCTTCATAATGCTTTATAGCCCTTCATAACCCTTCATAGCGCTTCATAATGCTTTATAGCCCTTCATAACACTTCATAGCGCTTCATAATGCTTTATAGCCCTTCATAACACTTCATAGCGCTTCATAATGCTTTATAGCCCTTCATAACACTTCATAGCGCTTCATAATGCTTTATAGCCCTTCATAACACTTCATAGCGCTTCATAATGCTTTATAGCCCTTCATAACCCTTCATAGCACTTCATAATGCTTTATAGCCCTTCATAACACTTCATAGCGCTTCATAATGCTTTATAGCCCTTCATAACCCTTCATAATGCTTCATAACACTTTATAGCCCTTCATAACGCTTCATAATGCTTTATAGCCCTTCATAACGCTTCATAGCACTTTGTAATGCTTCATAATGCTTTATAGCCCTTCATAACCTTTCATAGTGCTTCATAATGCTTTATAGCCCTTCATAACCCTTCATAGCACTTTGTAATGCTTCATAATGCTTTATAGCTTTTCATAACCCTTCATAATGCTTCATAACACTTTATAGCCCTTCATAACGCTTCATAATGCTTTATAGCCCTTCATAACCCTTCATAGCACTTTGTAATGCTTCATAATGCTTTATAGCCCTTCATAACCTTTCATAGTGCTTCATAATGCTTTATAGCCCTTCATAACCCTTCATAGCACTTTGTAATGCTTCATAATGCTTTATAGCTTTTCATAACCCTTCATAATGCTTCATAACACTTTATAGCCCTTCATAGTGCTTCATAACGTTTCATAATGCTTTATAGCCCTTCATAATGCTTCATAGCGCTTCATAACCCTTCATAAAACTTCATATCCCTTCATCACGCACTATAATGTGGGTTTGTGTTCTTCTGTGTAGCTGGACAAACAGAACCGTGCGAAGATCACTGACCTGGGCTTCTGTAAACCCGAGGCCATGATGTCCGGCAGTATCGTGGGGACGCCCATCCACATGGCACCAGAACTCTTCACAGGTCACTAACCGGTCGCTTTCTGCGCCATTCCTTACACTGGCCAAACTATTAGCATTTTCATTAAATAAAAACAATTAAAATAGCAAATAATAATGATCATATAAATAATATTTCATGCTCATTTCTTCTGTTTTATATGTTTAGATTACCTTTGTCATCTAACACTCACTTTAATTTTTTAATCTAACAGTCTTTAGCAAATCTCAAAATGATTATCCATACTGTTCGCTATAATGTTGTGATGCTTAAATTAGCTCTTTAGCATTTAATGCTTTATTGATGATTGATTTTAGTTTTTAGTGTTTTTTTATTTATTTATTTGTTTAGACAACAGTATGTGATTTTAACATCAGGTCATAAAAATTATAAATTTTAAAATAATTTTAATATTATAAACGTTTAATTTTATGGTAATTTAATTAGCCAAAATACTATGCAATTTCCATATCAGATGATAAAATGATTTTTAAATGATTAAAAAATTTAAAGTATTAATTTAATGGTAACAAAATAGTATGCGATTTTTAATATTGGACAATAAAGTGATAATTTTTTTAATTATTATCAAATTTAAAATGATGAAAAAATTTTCATTATCATGGTAGTTTTTTTATATTGGTCCATGAAAATGATTGACAACATATGAACTTTTTTAAAGATTTTTTTATTTATTTAGAAAAACCTTACTGTAGTTATGGTTTACGTTACAGTTTCTGATTGTACGTGTGCTTGGGTTTTTTCGCGCAGGAAAGTACGATAACTCCGTCGACGTGTACGCGTTTGGGATCCTCTTCTGGTATCTCTGCTCCGGCTCCGTCAAACTCCCAGAAGCCTTTGAGAAATGCTCCAGTAAAGACCAGCTGTGGACCAACGTCAAGAAAGGTAACGAACGCCAGTCGGCGGATCGTGTTGACGTTGCGCTGTGAACTCTGGGTAAACTCCGTGTGCGTTTGCTGCTTTCAGGCTCGCGGCCGGAGCGTTTGCCCACGTTTGACGAGGAGTGCTGGCAGCTGATGGAGGCCTGCTGGAACGGAGACCCTTCCCAGAGACCCCTGATGGGCATCGTCCAGCCCAGCCTGCAAAGCATCATGGACCGCCTGTGCGACAATTCTGACCAAAAGAGCGGCAACCTGGAGGACTCGAACTGACATCATTTCCCTGCATGCTCCTCTTGAGACGCTAAAGGAAAGCAGTTCTCGTTTTGTGTGTATAAAATGGACAAATGTTGCTTGTCTGCCTCTGAACAAACCTGATCACGCGTGTCATATTCAGCGCTGCTCGTCACGGATCCTCTAGAACAGAGTTTTACATGTAGTCGAGTTTGTGTTACAGATGAACCGCTGATTTTTAGATGGTGTTTAAACTGTTTACATTATCCTGAGATGACATTTTTTAATAAAATCATTTGGACCAATTCACTGCACTGATTTACTCTGTGTGTTTCATCGATTATTATTAAAGTGTATTAAATGTGATCCGTTGGTGGAATTATATTCGTTTTTTTAAACTAACACCCACAGATTGAGGTGAGAGTTGTTACTTGATTTTCTTGTTACAGTGTAATTATTACAGTACTGAGTAATATGAATTAACATACATACTATAGAGTTATTTGCAGGTAATTCATGCTTTGATGTTATTACTATAGTAAGTAAATGTAAAGTTACAAAGACGCTATAAAATGAAGTGTTTACTATAAAGCCCAGCCTGCAAAGCATCATGGACCGCCTGTGCGACAATTCTGACCAAAAGAGCGGCAACCTGGAGGACTCGAACTGACATCATTTCCCTGCATGCTCCTCTTGAGACGCTAAAGGAAAGCAGTTCTCGTTTTGTGTGTATAAAATGGACAAATGTTGCTTGTCTGCCTCTGAACAAACCTGATCACGCGTGTCATATTCAGCGCTGCTCGTCACGGATCCTCTAGAACAGAGTTTTACATGTAGTCGAGTTTGTGTTACAGATGAACCGCTGATTTTTAGATGGTGTTTAAACTGTTTACATTATCCTGAGATGACATTTTTTAATAAAATCATTTGGACCAATTCACTGCACTGATTTACTCTGTGTGTTTCATCGATTATTATTAAAGTGTATTAAATGTGATCCGTTGGTGGAATTATATTCGTTTTTTTAAACTAACACCCACAGATTGAGGTGAGAGTTGTTACTTGATTTTCTTGTTACAGTGTAATTATTACAGTACTGAGTAATATGAATTAACATACATACTATAGAGTTATTTGCAGGTAATAATTCATGCTTTGATGTTATTACTATAGTAAGTAAATGTAAAGTGTGTTACAAAGACGCTATAAAATGAAGTGTTTACTATAGTGTTTAGATTTTATTCAGGCTAGTCGGAGTATTTGTTCATTTTAAGGTCGTATAATAACGTTTTTACCATTGAACATTTTCTGATAACATAACTATGTAATTTACGTTTGTGGTGCGATTTACAATTCGAATTCAAACAGTCGTGATGCGGTTTGTTTGCGAATATACTTACGGTGATAACTCCATTTCTCCGATTTTGAACGAGTAAAAAGATTATAGCGTCTGGTAATGGTCGTTTAAAGTAGAGGTTTAGTGAGCTGATGTGATTTATTATCGATCTTACAGTGATAGACGTTTTATTCCGAAATATGAATGTGTTTTTTTTTTGTACGGGGGTGTCTGATTTAATTTAATATATAGATCGTTTTTTTTTTTTTGTTATATACTGATGTCAGTTTCTTTTTAAATATTTGATCAGCGCGCGTAAATCTGCAGTCGCGCGTGCGCAGTGCGCCTGACATGTAACGGACAATTTCTGAGGAGATTTGAGACTTTTCCAAAACAAACAATATGACAACGACCTATGTTGATTTAATTTTAATGTCAGTAACAAGAGTAACGTTACTAATATTGAGATCAATATCGTGATCAGATTCGAAGTTTAGCGTCTGAATTAGCAAACAAAACGATAATCATATTTCATATCTATCGCGCTCAAGTGAAACCTAAAAGTCGAAATGAATCTTTCTGCTCGGTGGTTTGTCGAGTAAGTCTCAGCCGTACTTCTAAACTAACTGTAGGTGAGATTAAAGTATTAAACTTTGTTAATATTTTGATACTTTTGACGTTATTCTCAAAATATTATGACTTCCATCTCATAATGCTACGACTTTATTCTGGTAACGTTAATCTGAAATTATTTTTTTACATGGCACTAAAATGCAGTAATTCAGTATCTTAATTTTTAAACATTAAAATAACTTTAATTGAACTGTTTAAACGTATTTTTCAAATAAATTAACATGCTTAAGATCATCTACGACTGAATCATGTTTTTCAATATGTTTCCCTTACGAAAATTTACTATGGTTTACTATAGTAAAAGTGTAGTAGCCAGGTTTTTTTTTTT